CCTTGCATTTTTGCATTTAGCTTGGTCTAGCATGCTCATAGTTTCCCAGTGGAAATTGTGGTTGTTACTGTGGTTGTGTTGTGAGATTAAGGAGTTGCCACTGGGTCTCCTGACCGCTAGTTGGTGTTCATCAATGCGCTATGCTAGTTTTCTCCTGCCTGTTCTACATAACAGCTGTTATAGTCCTTACTCTGTATGCTGCAAATGATTCCTGTTTTTTTTTCCCTTCTGAGTCTTTTGGATTATTTAAGATATTTCAGTTTGGTTTGAGTGCTACGGTGATGCCGCATGGTTGTAATGGTCTGTTGGGGGTTTCCGAGATTTTTTTGATATCGGAGTGTCATATATCTCCCATATCCACCCAACTAGGGAACATCATTGGTGCTGCCTGGATTGGTTCATTTTGGATTTGGCAATGAGCACCGGGAGTCCTGTCAATGAATGAAAACACAGAAGAGAAAAATTTAGAGCCTCATCTGCACTTGGATTAGAGTTTATTGATTAGTGACACCAAATGGAAAAGAAAGCCTGATGCACAGGCTTGTTCTGTGGGTCAGTAGGCTGAAGTTGAAGTAGCCAGGGAGATTCTGGCTTACAACCTTCCAAGGTGCTTCCAGCTACATTTAGTACATTGGCATCTTGCACAGATATGGCTGTTCGATATTACAAAACTGGTCATTCCATGCTTTATAGTCTAGAAGAAATGAAATAATTGATTAGATTTTTGTTACAATTTTTTTGTAACAATCCTATCATTTGTACCTAAGAAAACAGGGTATTTTGTCACAAAAGAATTAACTTTTTCGGATAGGAACAGTTAAACTCATAGCTTTGCCACTATAGTTTCCAGGTAGTCCTCAATTTACAACCGTTCATTCAGCAACCTCTCAAAGTTACAACAGACACTGATAAAATTGATTCTTGACTGGTTTCGACATGACTCTTGCAGTACTTTCAAATTTGGACCTTTGGTGACTGGCATATATTTATGATGGTTGCAGTGTCCTGAGGTCATGTAGTCCCTTTTTGTGACCTTCTGACAAGAAAAAGGGAATCCAGATTCTCCTGCACACTGCTTGGAGAGTCCAAGTATGGGTATTATCACAGTCTGCTTGCCCTGGACTGAGAAGTCTTTTCCCTGGCCATGCCTCCTTGCGTGGTCACGTCCTCCAGAAAAAATTCTCAGTCCAGCCCGATCGGATTGTTCTTCTGCGAGCTCCAGGTTTTTTTTTTGAATTATTTTACCTAACTTGGACTCTCCAAACTGTCTTTTCCCTTTATTTCTCTTATTTTTTGCCTTATCTTCCTTTCCCTTACTGTAGCAGCCTGGATTGCTGCTGTTGAAGCCTCGTGCGAGGCTTGGAGGTAGACGGCAAGGGGGGGGGGGGTGTTTCCAAGCTGCGCGCCTGTCGCTGGCTTCGGAGGCATGCCGCGGCTCCCTTAAAGCACAGTGGGGTGGCTTGAGGCTCCAGGGACTGCAGCAAGGCTGCGTTTGGCACTTTTTTTTTTTTTTTCCCTCGAGGTCTTTTCGATTTTGGCCATAGGATTGAGGAGCCTTGCCGCAGAGGCGAGCGGGGCCTGCAGGCTTAATCGCATGTGCCCACACTCGCTCTCTCTTTCCCCTCACGCTGTTGCGGTGGCCATTTTAGGGCTGGGAGTTTCGCGCCCTTTTAAGGCCCTGGCCTCTGCTTCAGCCCCGTCTTACCAGGAGGCCGCTGGGTGGATACTGGGGTCAGCGGGGGCCTTGCCCATCGCTCAACTGTCCCTGGACCACCTTCTTCGTTCTCTAAGCTGCGCTGGCTCAAGAGCTTTCGGGCCTGAGCCCTGGCACAGGGAGGCCCCGGGCCTGCAGATTGGCTACAGTTTTAAACTCAGGAGAGGTTTTTTCTTCTCTCCTCATTGCTGGCTCCTGGGAGGCCCCCTGAAGATCCTGGTTGAGGTTTTGGCCTAATAAGCTACAAACTCATTAACCTCCTCCTCCTCTGCTCTGCTCATAAATTTTCCTTATTGTGCATTCCTTTTATTTGTGGAGTGTTAATCATGATTTCTCTCATTTGTTTATATTGCAGAGCAGTCTGTCAGAGTTGCCTGTTTCCTTTTCTGCCAATTGCCTGATCAACCTGTGTGTTTTACTCATGGATTCCTCTGTCTCAGGTTCCCTTGCTGGTAGACAGGGTCCCCCGCAGGTTTCGAGCGTGGGTTCTCCCCAAGCTATGGAGGATGGCTCAGGCAGGGTGCGAGTGGTCAGTCAGGGCAAACTCCCTAAGATCCACTCTGTGGCCGAGGCCAGGGACGCTGAGAGGCGCCAGAGGGCCCTTGACAAGCAATTCGAGAAAGCCAGGCGTCTGGCAGAGAGAGATGCTCTCTCTTCTACCCCTGGGGTTCCCTTGGCTCCTCCCTCTCCCAGAGAGGATCCCGCAGCTCTGTTGGCCGAGGAGTTGAGTCGCAAGACTTATCCCCCGGCAGGTCCTTGGCTCCCTTCTCTCCGGTGCCCTCCTGGTCTTACAAACAAGAGCAAGAGCCGGTAGGACGGTCTGTTTTCCATCCCTCAGGACAATTCCCCTCCTCTTCAGGGGGATCATGTTGATCCAGACTTGGGTTCGGATTCTGACTCTGAGGCTGAACTCCCTCCCAGCATGCAGAGGATGATGGACAGGGCCATTGCTAGGGCCGTTGAGGCTGCCATGCGAAAGTGTGAGCGCCCGGCATCTGGTCCCTCTAGGGCCACTCTTACTGAGCCGCCTCCGCCAAAGCGGGTGCGCCGTTCCTCTCTTGAATCCTCCATGGTCAGCCAGACCTCGGCTGCTGAGGATCCGATTCAGGATCTCTTTCAGTTGTCGGATGTCGATGATGATCTCACATCTGATGCCCCGTCCTTCTCAGGGCTCTTCAAGCCTTCACTCTTTAAATCCATCCTGCAGAAAGTGAAGGTGGCCACCGATGAGGGAATAAAA